TTGTTTTATGTTCTAAATTTTATACTTATCGTACCTATCTTCGACTGCATAATATGCTTTTGTAATATTTTTCTTGCAGTTACTTTTGGCGACTTAACCGAAAAACTCAGTAATTAAACTTGATCCGACCCAGGACTCGAACCCAGGACTTCCGGATGTGCAGCTGTAGCTACTAAACCACCGAGGCAATCGAAACATTTTCACAATATAAGATTTTTCACACAATTTTTCGTGTTATATTCAAATGTAGAATTTAGGACGTATAGAAACGATCAATTGGAAATACGCAAAGCAAGTTGTATCGAGTTTGTACATAGTGGATCAAACTGAGAAGTCAACTTGTTCAAATAAAACGGTTCTAAGGTGTTATTTAAAGTGTATTGACGTTCAGAATTTTATTTATTTTACATTACGTATTCTCTTTAATCTATATTGTATAACATTTGAAGAATGTGTTTTAATTTAAAAGCGTATTTACATCTAGATGTCGATAAAAATTATAACAAATGAAAAAAAAAATAGATTTTTTCCAGATACATGTATTGGAGATTCCCTATCAACGCACAAGATGTGTTTGTTGTGTAATCATCAGAGAAAACGGGCTTTAAACTGAATAGTAATCGAATACTTAGTAGGATTATCGATTGCTGATTTGAATTAAAATTTCGGTTATAGTCTTATATCATAATTTATATTATATGTTGGATATTGTGTATACAGCATTAACGTCTGGAATAGACCTCCCCTTAATGCGAGAGGGGACCAGGCCATAGTCCACTACGCTGGTCAAGTGCGAGTGGGTGGAAATCACATGTCTTTCAAAAATTGCTACGTTAAAGACAAGCAAGTTTCCTCAAGATGACTTATTTCACCGAAATTATATGCATAAATAATAGCTTTGTATGTATGTGTCACATTATTTAATTATAAGTATATAATGTAACTTTACTACATAAGTAAAAACCAGTGCAGGCAATTAATATATATATGTTTTATGTAAGATATAATTGAGAAAAAAAGCAGTGCAGGCTACAGCCCTCCACCACTTTTCTTAATTTATTCGAATTATGTCAAAATGACAAGAATGAAGTAATTAATATCTATCGTAATATTATATACTAGCATTGCCCGCGGTTCCGCCCGCGTTAATATGATCAAAACCAAATTCTTATTATTATATTATATATTATATTAGGTATATATTAGTATACTAGTATTAGTATATTAGTTGACCCGGATAACCAGCTATTACCATACCAAATTTCTTTAAAATCCCTCCAGTGATTTTTCTGTGATGCGGTCACAGACAGACTGACAGACAGATTTTAATGTATCTATAGATGTAACTAATTTATAAAGCCAAAAAAATTGTTTATTGATAATTTAAACACGGGCGGGGCCGCGGGTTATTTAGTAGTAATTCTAATAAAATCATAGGTCGAATTTGTACATTTAATTTTTTGGAATTAAAACTACGTATTTTAAAGACACATGGCGACATCTATTGACAAATATCTAAATAATACAAAAATTAATTTCATTAAAATATTTTTTTTTATATTTATTTATAAATGATTTCAATTTTTCTAAAAATATCCTAGTTAATTGTTTTAATTATTAACTTTTGAAAAATAAAAAAAAGCATTTTCGATAACACGAAGAATTTTTTTCCCACCCTCCGAATTTTGCCGCCCCTAAAAATTTTCCGCCCTGGACACTCATTATTATTTTCATATAGCTTCAAAGATTAAGAACTAAATTCATGGATCTCTGCATATTGTATTAATAAAATTAATTATTCTTGAAACTCTTGCAGCAGACCCTCGAATATCTTCGCTAATTAACTTTGAGATGTAATATATCGTTCGTGTAATCAGCCGTTTGGAAATCTAATCTGCTAATATAATTGAGCACATTATATTAATTAAATAAGGTAACCTTTTATTCTGTGCGATAAGATCGAAAGGGCTTTGTTGTCTTGATCAAATAAGATGATTTTCCTCTCAGACATCTATTGTGGTATATTGCAATAGAGTCGAGACGTGTATATAAATATAAACACTTTTTGACTAAAAGTTTCAGTTTCAGTGAATTTATAATCAGTTTTAATATAATTGTTTCATCCTTGGGTTGGAGTTTTACTTTTAATTTATAAAAATATTCATCCCCATTTTCACCCCCTTGAAGAATGATTTCTGGGATAAACACTATTCTATATCCATCCCAGGGTCTTAAACTATCTTCTTACCAAACTGCATTTAAATCGGTTCAGTTGTTTCGAAGCATATTCAGTAGAAACAAACAAACAAAAAATCAATTCTTTCCTCTTTATAATATTAGTAAAGATAAAAAGCCTCCTCCATTTTTAAGTTAGCCAAATATGTTAAATTACCAGTATTACTAAAGCTACTGTTCACCCAGTGGTCAAAATTCGACCATATTATTGAAAATTTGAGCAAAATGTATATGAATAGATTTTTCCTATCCATATAAAAACATTAAGTTTTATAGATACCACTAAAACTCATCAATAGCTAAAACAATGCAATATAAAAAGAAAATTAGTTGACAAACAGAGAAGAAAAAGGTGTTAGGTGTAAAACCGAAGTGTTTTATATATATATATATATATAAATCGATTATATATGCGTGTATCATTATACATTCTTTTAGCGTCCTATTACTTACTGAGTTATTCGAGTTTATTAAATAATTTCAATGATTAATAATAGCAAACAGACAAAGATTTGCTAAATCATTAGGTAAGATAAGTAAGATTGATAGTAAGCAGTAGCAGCCCAGTGGTAGCGTAGTCGCTTAGAAGATCCAGTAAAACGGGTTCAAATCTTAGGTCTCGCATCTCTGATATTTTCACGTGCAAGCCATTTCCAACATGATAATCACTTGTTAATATTGCCACCGTGGTGTTCTATGGCTTGATCCTCCTCGTATTGATGGGATTGGCTCATGCCCAGCAATGGGACGTTTAAAATGGTTCAATAAATGAATACAAGTTAAAGATTAAACAGCAAGTTATTTATTTTTCAAGTAAGAAAACTTTATTTTTATGTTAGTCATTTAACGCTTGAACTTGTACTCCATTATATAAAATACAATAGAATCGCTTAAATTTACATTTTAAGGTACATACCGCTTAAGCTAAAACTTGTCGCAAAATTATTATTGTTGGAACGAATACTGTGGGTTATACAGGCTGTTGATTTAGGTGCTTCGAATAATATTACCAGTACCATGTGCTCGTGTAAAAGTTAAACTAGTTTATTTATTTATTTTTTTAAAGGCTTTCTAACTAAATTTACATAAAACATGAAATTAACACAATATTTCATCTCTATTTTCTATAAAAACTTAAAATTATGCACAGCTTTCTATAGAAATATTTAATCTAATGTTAATGATTTATGATTTTCAACCGACTTCAAAAAGGAGGAGGTTCGGTTTTTTGGTCTAACTTTGTAAAGTTTTGGTCCTTACGAGGATTTTTAACTTAGAAGCTTGTTGTAATTGTTTATAATTCAAGCTGCTCTGATGATGGTGAAAGTTAAGTTTTTCATCTGCTACATAATGCTCTTTGAGCTTATTTGATTTATTTTCATAAAAGTTTGTCGAATATATATATATATATATATATATATATTATTTAACAATTAAAATCTGAATTAAAACTATTATTCTCATTTTTAAATGCTAAACATATTATTTTTGTCTAGAAAAATAATATAGATAATTAATAAGTTAAAACTAAAACTAAGATAAGTTAAAACTATAAATCGCTTAACAATTTACTAGCGCCACATAGTCGCTTTGTCCATATTTTACAATTATCGCGAGCGTTTCCACATATCTTTTTAGTAATTATAGCTAAAATATTGACGTGTTCCTCATTCCATCACCAGATAGCGTAATCTTATATATAAAATTTCCATGTCACAATGTTAGTTACCGTACTCCTCCGAAACGGCTTTACCGATTTTTACCAAATTTTATATGCGTATTCAGTAGGTCTGAGAATCGGCTACTATCTATTTTTCATACCCCTAAGTGACAAGGATAAGGGTGGTCCTCCCAGACCCCACCCCAGGGACGAACCCGAGCGGAGCGAGGGTGAGTCGCTAGTTTTCATATAAAATTGCGTAAACGTTAAACGCGATCGATTAAGTATAAAAAGTCTCGCTAGGCACACTGGTAAAAAGTCATTCCAAAATAGTAGGGCCGGTGTAATATATGTTAAGTTAAATCATGTTTGCTTTGTATACATGAAATAAAACAATTTACCTGAGTTAATCTTTTATTAGGCTTCTTTGCGTACAATCTTTGGGTTAGTAAACCAAATGTTGCTAGGCTTTCTCCTTTTGATTTATATAATATATAATATTACAATCTCATGTTACTTTTAAACTCACGTTTGTATCATTAAAATATGAATTTTAAACATTTTTAGCGGAAAATAGGTTTTGAATATCAATGAAAAAGATAATTAATAAATGAAGGCATCGCGAGTTTATGGTTTCTGATATAAAATAAAATTATTAATTTTTTTTTTTAAAAGTTACACTTTAAAATTACTCTAAAAGTAAATATTCCACTCTAGAAAGTTTTTTAAGTCGATAACATAAAGTATTGAGATCTAAACTATGACATATAAGAATAGGAATATTTTAAAATGTGTTACACTAGCGAGTCACTCTCGCTTCGCTCGGGTTCGTTCCTAGGTTGCTTCCCCATACAAACTTTCATCCCCATTTTTACCCCTTTAAGGGACGATTTCCGGGATAAAAACTATCATTATGTCCTTACTAGGATCTCAAACTATCTTCTTACCAAATATCTAAATCGTTCAGTACTTTCGGAGCCTATTCAGTACAAAGAAACAAACTAACAAAGAAAAGATCTTCCCTCTTTATAATATTAGTCTATATTTTTTTTATTAAAATTACATTTTTTTGGAAATATCTTTAAAAATTACATATTTTATGCTAACTCTGGCCCAATACCCGAAATTTATAATCAACAAAGTATCCATTGCGCTTCGCATGCTGATTAAGGGCTCTCGTAATATCTTTTATTTTCTCGAACACTTCTTGTAACGTTAGGTTGGAGATAATCCGTTTTTTCTCTCGAGGCATAGGTTTAAATCGATTCTTTTGACGTAGCCCTCTTTTAATGTAAGTGGGTATATCTGAAAGAAATTCTAGGCGTTATACTATTCTATACTATAGTTGACAACTCTGAGATCTAAAGTGTAATATCATCAATACCAGCTGTACCTTAAAAATGTTAAAATTTCCTTCACACAGCTACATACATATTTTACATACGTACTTTACACGTTATTAGCAGATGGAAAAACAAACAGACAAACATCTTCTCAAAGAACACCATAAGCTTACACTTGTACTATATACTAGTAAATGAGGTTGTAAATAGCAATTTTCATGTCAAAACGCTCCTTTATAAAAATTAATACAATGTTATCTTGCTCTTCGTTTTATAAACGATTAGCGGCGCCTTCGGCTCCATCCGGTTAGATATTTTTTTGTGTAATCGCGTTGCTTGTTATATCCTATGATTTTTGTCGATAAGTATTAAAAAAAGGCTTTTTTCAGTCAGACTTTTAGTTAAAGGGATTTCAAACAAACGTAATCTATAGCATTGTATATGAGCAAAGAGAAACAATCTGACGACGCGTTTAGCTCAGTTGGTAGTGGCCCTACTTTCTGTGCCGGCGGTCGCAGGTTCATTTGTGTGATTAAAAAGATTTGTACTCCAGTCATGGGTGTTTATATTTATAATATGTATGTATTTAAAGTTATATATGTGTAGTGTATCAACTATCTGGTATCCATATCACAAGCCTCGTAGCTTACCATGGAACTAGATGGTGCTGTGTGATACTGTCCCAACAAAAAAAAATCTCTATATACAATAATATAACGAGAATATTAAACAAATAAACAAACTGTTTTTTTATATTAGTAAATTAATTAAAATTAACCCCCTTTTATCCCCTGTTATGTAACAGGGGATAAATGAGGGTAAGATCAGTAACTTACCACCGGATAAGGAGTACTCGAACTGTGATACTACAGACGCGATCGCGAGTGCCGTCAACGCGACGCACGCCAACATCTTCCGAGCATTGTTTGCTGTAGTTTATTTTGAAAACTGATTCCTTTCGCTATGAAAGTACAGAGCACCTTAAGAGTATAGAGCAAGATAAAAGAGAGAAAAAAATAATTTTTATTAAAATTGTTTTCTTGTCTATTGTTTGTTTATATTTTTAACCAACTTCTAAGATAGGAGTTTCTCAAGTTTGATTTTTTGTTTTTTTTTTTAATAATTAAGTTGTACCTCATTGGTAATTTAATGTAAAATTGTTTAAGGTTCTATTGCTAGTGTTAATAAAGACCCCTAATTGAAGTTTTTCTCAAATATATTCCATGTGCAGACAGCGATTGGATACAATTTTATTATACTTATAGATTACAACAAATCCATGAGCAAAATCGAACCAGCGATCTTCATTAAAGTGATAAATTCTTTGAAAATGATCTAGAATTATATAAGCCATAAAATAATATTACAAAGCACACTCGTATAATTCATTGTAAATTACAATTTATTCCACCAGTCATTAAGTAACAGGTTTAATTATGTTAATCATTGTGATAAGGAAAATGTATTTTCTTTGGTATTTTTATTCCCATTTCTTACCTTCCCTAACGAGCGAGAAAATCTTACCTAAGCTTTTAATATTGTTTAATATTTCCTGAGACAAATTGTAATTGACTTGCGAATATTATTCTGAAGAGAAGATTTTTTTTTTGAATTATTAAAACATAGATTCCTAAGTGAGAGAACTTAAAGTTATATATTTTGCACAATAATAGTAATGTTAACTACTAGCGACTTTCTTCCCTTTGTTCTGGTACATCCCTTGCCGTGCCTTTTATTAATATAAATATATTAATAAATATGTTGGACGTTAACATACATCACCATGTAGTTCCATATTAAGCTACGAGGCTTGTGTTATGGATACCAGATTGTTGATACTTGATACACTACACATATAGAACTTTAAATACATACATACGAGTATTATAAACATAAACAAAATCTTTAATTTTGGAAATTAATTGTATCTTCTTCTTCTTTGAAGAAGAAAATTATAAATATAAACACTGATGATTGGAGTACAAAAATTCGTGCTCATCACACAAATGTATGCCCCCAGCGGGACTCAAACCCGCTACCGCTGGTACAGCAAGTAGGGTTACTATGTACATAGTGAGCCAAACGTGTCGTCATGGTAGTATTAAAAACAGTAAGCAATATGTTACTCCAGTTCGTGGTCTACGAGTATTTATGTACTAAATATTTCAATATGACCATCCGTTTCAGCTTGAACAAGTAACAAACAATGTTCGTCCAGTGATCGAAGTTCGACAATAATCATTGATGAGGAAAACGTACATATACGATTAGAATTTTCCTATTCATATAAAAAAGTGTTTTCAATTTTTTTATTGATAATATTAAAGCTTCACAATAGCTGCTTAATAAAGAAACATAGGAAATAGATCGAAAAGCAGAGGAGAAAAAAGTTCAGTAGATCAATAGTCTATACTAATCTATACTAATATTATAAAGAGGAAAGATTTTTTTCGTTTATTTGTTTGTTTGTACCAAATAATCTCCAAAATTACTAAACCAATTTTGATGATATTTAGTAAAAAGATAGTTTGAGACCCTGGGTAGGACACAGGATAGTTTTTATCCCGGAAATCATCCCTTAAGGGGGTAAAAATGGAGATGAAAGTTTGTATGGGGAAGCAATCTAGGGACGAATCCAAGCGGAGTAAGAGTGAGTCGCTTGTGAAGAATAAACATGGTAAAGATATTTATTTTTATGCGCTCTCTCTATATCCAACATAGACTATGGTATTTCTAACTGGCAACTACAATTGACAACAATGGTAGCTTAGCATTTTTTAAACCCGACAATCAATTATCGACCCTTGTTACTAAGGAATACAGCTTTTTTTCATAAAGCGGCCTTTATGTTGTCACTATAAGTTTATCCGGAAGGCGCAAAACTCTTTCATTCTTAACGTTTTGTTTGAATTCTTGTTCTTGTGTTTTGAATCAAGTTTGTTTTGTGAGATCATTTTTGTGTTATTTTCTTCTCAGACTTTTATTATGTTTCCTCACAATTACTCGTATGTATGTATAGATTTATGGAGTAGCGTGGTTTAGTTTAATGCGAACAAATCCTACTAATAATATAAATGCGAAAGTTTGTGAGGATATATGAATATATGGATGTATAGATGTTTGTTACTCTTTCACGCAAAAACTACTGAATGAATTTTAATGAAACTTTCATATAATATAGCTCATATATCAGAATAACACATAGGCTACTGTTTATCCCGGAAAAATATACGGCTCCCCTGGAATAGATATGTTTTTGTTTTTCTAGAAGCGAACCCCAGTGAAGCGAGGACGAGCCGCTAGTATATAATATAACTTTAAATTCACTTAAAGTTATTTTTAGTAACTTTTTCTTAATAGCCGATAAAAAACTGATTTTAAGACACTTTTTTAAGCCTATTTTCTAGGACGGTTGAAAAAATGAAACCTGAGGGGCTGATTTGAAAGCGAAATTAAAAAAATAATCAGAACACCGCGTTATGTATCAACATAATAAATAGGTCCTTTGTAAGGGATGTATGTATTCAACCCTTTTTAACGTTTCACTTCTGGGCACGGACCTCCCTTGATCGAAGGGCTCAGGCCATAATCCATTACACTGGCCAAGTGCGGGCTGGCGGACTTCATATTATGTATGTTTTTCGAAAACTTGATAGGTTCTCACATACAATAGGTTTCCTCAAGAGTTTCTTTCAGCAAATAGCGAGTGGTAAATATGTTGAAAAATAATTCGCATGTGCGAATATCAGAGATGCGAGACCCGATGATTTTTAGTTACTGTTTTGTAAAAATTACATAATAAGACTTTCTTTTAGTAGTATCTTATAAATTTATTACAATATGAGGATACCAAACAAAATATGCCATATATAATAGAAATATTTGCAATAAAATTTTAAATATATAGCAGGAACAAATTATAGTGAATGGCAAATGCCAGAAAAAAATCATAAGAAAACAATCACACTTTGGGGTAAAACGAATTCTTTTGGTCGATTAATCAATCTGTATCGTTCGTCCGTTTATCTTACCTTATAAAGGTAGCCTGTGAACCTGTACAGGTAAAAAAATCACAGACAGTTCTTATTACCGGTGTTACTTTTTACCACAGATTACATTGCCTATTTAATTTTGGACACACGGTATAGAACATTCTGACTATTTCCTGACTCATATAAAATCAATTTTTAATATTAACTAAAACTTAAAACTCTCTAAGTAAAAAAAAACAATTTCTAACAAAATAGCAAATGCTTCATCAACAAAATACGTGCGTCAAAGCTATCGAGTAACATATCGCTTCGTTATCAATAGATCCATTTACAGCTGTTCCCGTCTGGTCGACGGTCCGAACTTCGCTAACACCCTCTAATACGTTGTTAAGCACCTTGATTTATGTTACCAAGCCGCCTCGTAGAAGAAAACTTTGTATACCTTACATTTTGTTCAAGTTTGATCAACAGTAGTGTTAAAAATGTTCCAAATGTAACCTAAGACGTATTTTACAACATTCACATCATTTATGTTTTAACTTGAATATAAATAATCTTTAATTATTTTGTTTTTGGTCATCTATACCTACATATATATATAGGAGTATACCTAGATAATAAAAAAAACAAAATAAGATAAAAAAGGTCATCAAAAAGATCAAACTGTCCTTTACCTTTAGCAAAACTGTCCTTTAATGCCTTTTTATCCTTTGCTAGTCAATCGATTTTTGTTTAGTTGCTATTGTGTTATTAATAAAAAAAATGATTATGGTCGAATTTCGACCACTGAGCGAATACTAGTTTTAATAAGTACTTAAATATTATAAATGTCTTATCTTAAGTTCCTTCTAAGCAAACTGGACTTTTTTTATAAAAAATAAGCCCTCGTTAATTTTTAAGGTGCAAACGTTCACGGTTTCCTACAAAAAGTTAGTTAAAATCTAAAATCTTATATATTATGGTATTCAGGCACAAGGACAGACGGGCAGTTTTTTTACCTTTATGATATTATATGGCATATATGTAAAAAACTCTAAAATGTATATAGAGTAAATATGAACAAAGATTTTCTTCTTTTAACAAGGTCACTTTTAAATTTTATGAGCCATGAAAAATGGTCTGTTTTTCTTATGTAGAAGAAAATATTAGTTTCTAGTTAATGATATTTTAAACTATACACATAAAAAAATCTAACTGAGTCGAATCTGTACATTAAATATTTTTTGGAAAATCTTATTGAAATAGTCATTATTATCGAAACAGATTATTAAATTAAATCTATAGTTCTTAGAATTTTTGTCTGTTCGTCTGTTTGTCTGGAAATGCATCACGAAAACCACTGGACAGATTTTGATGAAATTTAGTATGATGATAGCTGGTCATCCGAGTCAACATATAAGACTTTTTACTGCGGGAAAATATCTCATCTCTGAGAAATCTATACTAACCGTTCAAACGTATCTAGGGACGAACCAGAGTGGAGCGAGGGTTAGTCGCTAGTAATTAATAAAAAGCTAACAAGAATTAAAAACAGAAACTATATTGCATTACACTTTGAAGCAAAGGTAACAACTAAGGGGCTATTATTAACAAGAAAACTTTGTTTCTGGAACTACTTTCTTTATAAAGTAACTATCACAAAAGCTAGAGTTAATAAAATAAAGAAATAAAAATTGTTAAATGCCAATCAGGTTCGCGTGGAAAGGAGTTTCAAACATCATCAAAGGATGGAATTTAAAGACTTTTAGGGGGCATTTTAGGGCTCAGTGTGGCTGACTGTTCTGAAAACATGCATTTATGTGGGCGTTGTTATAAAAGTCAATATCCATAGCATGTAAGATGTATGCATATTGTAATAAAATAACATGGGATCGAATATATGTATATATATCAGATATTATTCCAAAAAGTCAATTTTTA